TCACTCTCACGCACACACACTTACACTCACTCACACACACACACACACACACACACACGCGCACACACTTAAACTCACACACTCACGCACACTTACACTCACACACACACACACACGCACTCACTCTGACACACTTACACTCACACACAAACTCAAACTCACTCACTCACACACACTCACTCAAACGCACCACACTCTCACACACAATCACATTCACACACTCACTCACACTCAAACATTCTCACACACTCACTCTCTCTCACACACACACATACACACACAATAACGTGATAAATACCAGGTACAGACACACTGACACACATAAACACTCACTCACACACACACACACACACACACACACACACTCACACGCAAACACACACACACTCACACACACACACTCTCACACACTCGCACACACTCACTCTCTCACACACTCGCGCACACACACAATCACACTCACCCACTGACACACTCAAACATACACTCTCACACTCAAACACACACTCACTCAGTCTCTCACACTCACTCTCACACACACACTCACACACTCTCTCACACACTCGCACACACTCGCACACACTCGCACACACTCGCACACACTCGCACACACTCGCACACACTCGCACACACTCGCACACACTCGCACACACTCGCACACACTCGCACACACTCGCACACACTCGCACACACTCGCACACACTCACTCTCTCACACACTCGCACACACACACACACACACACACACACACACACACACACATCACATGTACGTTATGACATTTGTTCATTTAGCAGACATTTTTGATACTCATTCTCATTTGCACGGGTCCTTAAAGTTTTAAAAAGTCCTAAATTTAGTTGTATCTCATTTAAGGCTATAAATCGTAAATGGCAGGGCTGTATGTTAACTTTTTTGCACACAAGGAGTTCATCACTTCAACACAAACAGGCATTGATGTTCCATACAGAGAACACTAAAAATACAAACCATCACAAAAACTGTTTTTAGACCGTTTTTTTTTCTTTGCATTTAGGCAAAGTTAGCAAAGATAAAAATCCTTGTCATTATTTTATCTTTGTTATTAGAAAATAAGAACAAAGATATACATTACAAATACACACAATATACAAAAAACAGACAGTGCTTTATGTTTTTGACAGGGCAGTTTAAACAGTGACGGGGTGCAGGTAACTAAGCAGCAGAGCGACCGTTAAAGACACCGTTATGACCCAAAGCTTGCCTACTATTCTGCTGCATACTCTTCACAAAAAGAGTACATACTTTTAGGGCATAGTATAAGTAGGTGAATTGGGATGCAGCAACGGTCTGGCTGTGGTTGTGTATGTTGAATAACTAAAGCTGTTTCTGGCTGAGGATTTCCCCGGCTGCGTTGTCCGCTCTTCTGCTCTCCCTGATGTTATCCGTTTCTTCCCGTCAGGTACGACCATGACAGCGGTCACGACAGCGGCAGCGAAGACGCCTGTTTCGAGGTTTCTCAGCCCTTCACGCTGCTCACCGTGGGCATGGGCCGGCTCTTCATCCCCAAAGCGTCCGCCAGCGCCGCAGGAGATCACAGCAGCCGAGTCCTGCCCATGCCGCAGAGGATCGGAGTCTGTCTGGACTATGACGCCGCTCGCGTGTTCTTCTACGACGCAGACACCATGCGCTGTGTGTACGAGCGACCGGTGGACTGCTCCGGCACCATGTTCCCTGCGTTCGGGCTCCTGGGCGGCGGCGCGGTTCATCTGGAGGAGTTCATCACGGCCAAGCGGCTCTCGTACCTGTGAGGTGTCCGCTAGCTCTGCTAACTCCGTCTCGTTCTCTTGAGTTCCTCGTAACGGTAGATCGTCGTGTGGGTCGGCCGGTGGCGTGTCGCTGTCCTAATATACAAGTCAGTCTGGTTTAAGAGCCAAAGCCCGTCTGGAGTGCCTTCAGTGACATCAGTCGATCAGGATTTTAACAGACCATCAGGGTTCACGCAGGGCACCTTAATACACTGAAATCTAATGCAAAGCCTCACGTCACTTTCTGAAGAATGTGCACTGATACTGTTAATTACTTGTCATCGTTTACATGCAGTTAAGTGAGCTTAAGAACAACAACGACAAGCGGTATGATTTGAACACCAGAATTCACTACTGAACACGATTGTGCACTAATTATTATTATTTTGTTATTGTAGCAGCACCTGTAAAACGTAGAAATGTTTCAAAGTAAATGAAAACACATGAATCGGTTTGTCTTAAAACAGCATGTAGATACGATTGTGCTAGAGATGTTTTTTTGTAATCGAGTTAAACACTTTAATGAAATGTAGCATCTGAATCAAAGTGGTGCTGATCAAACGAGACCGACCTGAACACTTTATATGTACATATGCACTATTATTGTCAAGGCAAGCGTCTTGACGGGACTAACATGGCCTTATATTGAGTAATCGCAGGCTCGCCGCTAAGTTCTTTAGCACTTTAAAGCATGCGTGAGCTTGATGCAGGTGTGATATATCACAGGCTTTACAGTCTCTGTCACCTGCATCTGACTGGTTTTATTTTTAATGTACTGTGTGGGTTTTTGTATAAAAATAAATGAATGTCCTTTTAGCTGTATCAGTCCTGCTGTTTCCTTTCCCCCCCAAACCAACTTTTTGAATAGAAATGCTGAGTGAGCAACATATTATGTGCATTTCATTATTATGACTAAATAAATGATCAGGGGCTGCCAGACTCTAGAATAATAATAATAAGAAGTCTAAAATGTATATCAGATTTGAACGGACACGAGTGCAAATGGAACAGCTATTTTCATAGGTTTAATTTAGCGGATATTCAGCTCACAAAGCAAAACTATTATCTTATAAAAGCATTGCTCAGTAAATGCATGTATCTTGTGTTGTCAGTCATGAAAGGTGATTATAAGGCCAGTGTTTTCTTACCCTGTTAGATATATGCATTATATTTTCTCACATTTAATCAAATTCAATTAGAATAAGACGACACTGTAGGCTGTTACCAATCAAATGAAATCAGTGTCGGTAAAATCCAGTTTTGCACTGCAGAAGAAGCATTTAGATGTAATTACAACTGCATAAATAATGCTAAGGTCTTAAAATATTTAAATAAATAAAATGAGCTTTTATAAATGACACCTTAAATATGAAACTAAAACTGCAAGTCATTGAATCAAGCGATCTGAAACAGCTGATTTATTCAGGATAAAGTCTCTATGAATGAATCACTGGTTTGTTCAAAAAACTGCCTTCGCTTAGAAAGTAACGAAACACTGCTGTAACTCTGTAACTCGCTCCGTTAGGGTTTTGTTTGGAAGGATTTTGGTTGCTGAAAACACAAAACAGACAATACTGACAGCATCTGATCTGTGATCGCGCCGATATTCGAAACAGCATGTGATATGATTATATCATGTAGAAATATAAGACACAAACTCATACAGGGCCATTGACTTCTACTCGTCTCCATCACACAGTCAAGAGTGCACGATCAAGGCTGTGATCGTTTCATTATAACATCAGTTACTGTAATATGCAGACAGGGACATCAAACAGGAAGACTGTTATGCCATGTTTAATATAACACAAGTCTACACATCATCATTTCATGCAGTTATGCACTACGGTGGTAAAAAACAACGACAGCACAGTCCATCAGTCTGTAATCTATGGCCTGACGTCTGCGCTCGTGCGAGTTCTGGACGGCCCGCATCTAGAGTCCAGCGTGCGAGACGCCGCCATGTTTCTTCATGATGTATAAAACACAAGAATGAAGTGGTTACAGCTTGAACTGACGTACAAACACTCAGAGATCTGCCTCCAGCAGCCTCAGCTCGTCCCGTAAGGCCTGGCCCCGGCTCAGTTTGTCCAGCTGCTCCCTGCTGGGGGTCTTCAGCTCTCCAGAGTCCACCTTCTGCTGGAGCTCCTCCACCTGCCGCAGCTTCTTCCGCAGGTTCTTCATCTTCTTGGCCTTCTCTGTCGAGTTGCTGGCGGTCTCCTCCTCTGCGGCGAGGCTCATGTGCTCCAGCTCCGCGCTCAGGGCCTCCTGCGGACTCTGCTGTTTGCGCTTCTCTTTGCGCTTCATGTTGCGTTTGGCGGTCTTGGAGAGTGCGGCGGCGTCGCTCTGTGTCTCGTCCTCGGGGCTCATGCCGGGCGGCAGCTCGGGTTTGCTCTTGAAGAACTTGACGTACTTGTTCTCATAGCTGCAGACAGAGAGAAGCGTGTTAGCGGCACGCACACACGCACAGAGCGAGGACTGGCGGCGGTGGAGCTTACACCGGGACCTCCTCCTGAGGAACGAATCCGTCCTTCACGCGCCGCGGTCTCCTCCACGAGCCGTCCGGACGCTGCGAGGCCGCGATATATTTACCTCAAACACACACATTTACTCTCTTATTTGGATCCAATAGACAACACAGATGCAAACAGTCAATATTGGCTGATTAGACTGCAATGTTTCCCTCTCTCTCTCTTCACTGTTCCTGCATCTCAGATCTCAAATACATGAAATATTACCCTCTTTAGACAAAGATTTTGAATTAAACCGTAAAGAAAATACTATACAAAACTTATAGAAACAACAGTTCTTTATTTACTGTTGTAAGACCCCCCCTCTCTCACAGGTGACTTGTTCTGATCTGAAAAAGCTGAGTTTTCTCTGAAAGCTGAGGAGTAACATACATTCACAAGAGCTTATATTTATAACATTCAACACTAAAGGACAGGCAACACATCTCTGTTTGCATGCTCTCTATAACGGCTGAAACTGAACAGCATTTCTTTTCGTTTTCTTTTTTTGCAACCCACCCAACTGTGGTCCTTTAAACACGTTCTTGTGCACATGACCCTAACCTGCAAACACTAGAGTAGTTCACTTACAGTCAGTCAGGCGGATATTTCAGCAGTTTGAGAATACAGATCAAAACAACAGCCAGCCTCTCTGTATATGGCACAGAAACTCCAAACATCACAATTTTGAAGCTCTTTGACACTGAAAACTTTATTACTCTTTTATTTAATTAAATTGATTTATTTTTTATTAATTCAATTAATTAAAAAATAATTTATTTCCTTTAAAATAATTATAGTAACACTTTAATGTATAATGCATTATAAAAGTACTTTTACATTCACATTTAGTCATTTAGCAGATGCTTTTATCCAAAGTGACTTGCAGATGAAGAAGCAATCAAAACTAACAAAACAGCAGATACACACGTGCTATAACAAGTCTGTTAGCTTAACACAGTACACTTAGCAAGTTTTATTTAAAATTATATAATAAATAAAGAGAAAACAGACAGAATAGAAAAAGAATAGAAGCTTGTGTTAGAGACCTTTTTTGCTTTTTGTTAATTGTATAATAAATAAAAAGAAAGAAAGAAAAGAAAACAAATAGATAGAATACTAAAAGATTAGAGAAGCTAGTGTTAGTTTTTTTAAAGAAAACAAGCAGTTAATAAATGAATAGAGTGCAAGTCTTTTTTTTTAAGAATAGAATTAGAATAGAGTGCTAGAGTTAGAGGGTCAAATAAAGATGGAAGAGATTCTTGAAGATGGCTAAGGACTCAATGCTATGCTTTATTGCGTTAATGCTTGTAATGCACATCATAATGCACTGTAGTGAATAATTGTAACCGCACTTAATTCATTGTTACACTATGCATTTTAAAATCTGTTAATTATGACAAGATATAATGTATCACAACGCACATGATCAATAATTATAATGCATTACACCTTTTAATAACCCTTTACCATGCATTTTACATGAAGACTTTAAGTAAAGTGTTACCATAATTATTATTATGTTATCTCTGCTAACCCTCCACTACACTCAATACTAATCATCGCCGTCATGTTTTGTTGTTATTATCTGCATGATGATTATTATTATTATTATTATTATTATTAGGCTATGCAATGTGTGTATCTCAGCAGATAAAACGAGCTCGACTAAATGAAACACACACATATATATATATATATATATAGAAATAAGCAGCATTCAGAAGGAATGAAATCCAGTTATCACTCACACACACGGCGATTATATGATAATCTACGCAGAAATGTGTGTGTGTGTGAAATGCTTTACCAGATTCCTCTGTCACACAGGGGGTTGCCATCTTTAACAAAGACTAACTTCCGTTTCCGCTCTGTGTCGCTATCGCGAGACTGTAGCTGCGTCCGAAATCGCATACTTCCATACTATATAGTAGGCGAAAAACAGTATGCGAGGCGAGTAGTATGTCCGAATTCATAGTATTCGAAAAACAGTAGGCGAGAAGTACCCGGATGACGTACTACTTCCGCCAGAATTCCGTAGCATGCATACGATGGACACTTTACTATCCCGTGAGGCCACGGGAGAGGAGTAGTGATGGGAAGTACGGTTCTTTTCCGCGAACCGTACCTCAGGGAAAAACGTTGTTCATTGTGGTTAAATTGCACTTGTTTAACATGATCTAAGTGAACGGCTGACTTATTGAAAGTTTAAACATTGTAAATCGATGAGATGATTTCGTGAATCGGCTCTAAAAAGCTGTTTAATCATTGTTATTACTGAGCACATCAAGAACAGGTCGAGCTAGTGTCAATTTTTTATTAGTTCATGATTTGATGATGCTAATGTTTTTTAGCTAATACTAATGTGTTGATATTGTGCTTTCCAGACCCGGGATATCCAACGAAGATATGGAGGAAGTTCCCCTCGTGGTCGGTGATGGCCTGCAGCTGAACAGTGGAACAGCTTCCTATTACAATAGCATGGGGCATCACTTGCTGGTGGCTTGATCCGGATGTGGCATCCGTCTATTGCACCAGCTACCATGTGGAAAACTGGAGACCCAGCCAGCTGCGCAAAACCTGCCTC